CCCCTCCACGATTTCTAAGCGGGAGAATTTACAAAGTCACAGGATGTTCAAATACTTATTTTCCTCACTGTAAATCGTTTTTTTTCCCCCTAAGCTGTCTGTGAGCATCACAGGCATGACCCTGGTGTTTGTTTATATCTACAGGTAACACAATTACAAGAAGCTTCACAGTTTTCATCAGAGGCGTGCTACACATTTTCTTGGAGACGAATTTCTGTGTATTTAGGTCAGATTCAGGACTTTGTAGATTAAAACTGAACACTAAAAAAGTTTGCGTGGCTGTCTACACATTCTCACAGCAGGTGAAACGAGTGCGTATATTTATGCACACTTTCACCCAGTGCTGGTTTTGACACATCCCAACGTGTGCATGGAACCTGGCACACACACTGTTCATATATGAGGTCCAGCTGACAGCTGGGATCTTCTACCATCTGCTGTGAAAACCTTTGGTTGTGTTTGTATCTCTGCTGTCACGCCTGCAGGACGTAAGGTATTACACTGATAAAATCGGACATACACATACTTGTGAATTTGTAATGTTCTGGTTTTTGAATATATTTCAGAAAACCAAATCATAAATAAAGTCTAATTTTGGAATCACTTTAATTTGCATGATCWATTTAAAGTCATTTACTCTTTAAGTCATACTGAGGAACTGAACAACCACTGAAATGCTTTTATTTTCAAAACAACGAATAAAGCAATAATAGAGAAGATAAAGAGCTGTACAATCATTATGCCTTTTTTAAAGAATTAGTAACATTTGTAAACAGTTTAGCCATTTTCCATTTAAACCAATAACCTCAGCTTTAGCTTCATCTCCTAATGTGGGTTTTCTGCTTTTCCTGTTTGACCTGACCGTTAATTCAGTTGCTCACTCCTCCAGTCAAGTGTTTGGAAACACCTTTTCATGCAATGCTTTGAGAAGGTGTGTCCAAACTTTGGACAGGTGGTGTGTGTTAGAACAAAAACCTGTCTCACCTTTCTAACGGCTGCTTTCTGTCTCTATTGTCTCTAATCTGATATTCAAAATGAGTAAAACAAWAACTCAAAAATGTAACTGAAAGTAGAAGTTGATCAAAAATATTTGCAGAAAACTTATTTAGGCAAGAAAGTGTTTGAAAACTGTAGACAAAAGCCTAACTTGCAGATTTACAGAAGACATAAAACTGAGACAAATTCCCTACAACTTAAATAACAAATAAGCAGCAGCCTACTAGAGTTCTTGTTGCAGAGTGTCTACAACAACAATTTATCAGTCTAAATTGTGATGTGAATTGTGAAGTTTCTATTGGTTTTAGCATAAAAAACTCAAGTTTCTGTTTATGAAACTTAAAATWACTTTTTTAGTAGCTAGTAAAAAAAGAGAACATCAGGTTTGTTCTACATTTCAGTTTATTTTCTTGAAAAAATGGTTAGTAAGTATAAAAATACAAAACTACTGGGTAAAAAGATCAATCAATAAAAAATCCAGTCAAAATCTAAACATTACTGAAAGGAGCACCACTCTTCTATTAATAAACAATTACTGAAGTTTTTTCTGAACTTAATGTCTGAAAAGTTGAAATTTAAGTTCAGGTTTGCTTGTCTTGTTACAGCCATTTTTTTTTTGGGATGAACTAAAACATTAAGCACAGATCAGAATAAAGTCTTGTTGGTGTCATGATGCTGACTGCGGGTCACTGTTCTGTCTGGATCGTTGTCTGATATCAAGATCTGGTATCAAAGGTTCTTCAGACCTTAAAAAAATAAAATGTACTTTACTCACAAAATTTGGTTTAAAAATAAAATGATTAAAATCAATTAATTCATCCATCAAAGGTATTTTCTTACACATTTATGTGCTTATAAAACTGAAATAATCACATCAGTAGGCAATGAACATTTYAAAAATGACAGAATTTAAAATGATCAGTTCAGGTGAGGAACAACAAGTAAAGTTTTACCTCTGAGTGTCTTTGATTGTAATTTTTTCAGTTCTGACATCAGGCTGAAGATCGCTGTTTAATGTATTAGAAAATTGYAGCAAAAATAAAGTTTACACAAARATTTATCATCTGWRTGAGACATTAATAATGTGATAAATYTCTAAGATAATTTCAGAAWAAAGTACCTTTTTGGAGTCTTTTTTCTGTACCAAACACAGAGAACTGCACCACAGACTGCACCAACAKAGGTTAACACACATATAACAARAGYAGGCCAACCTTTTAAAAAAGATAAYCAAAWGATTGATCAACTCAAAACAAATAAAACAWACATAAAATACTCACATGAGGTCATCTAAACTTTAAACTTACTTAAACCTCTGCCAGAAGTTACAGATGTATTATTCAAATCTGAAAAAAAAAGAAAAAAGTCAAACATGAGGATCACAAAATGATCACAGATCTATAAATCAAAGTGAATCAGTTTCTCACCATCATCAGACGTGTGTTTGAGCTCAGAAATCCTCTTCACCACCTCCATCTGAGGACCAGAGTCCACTCTGGCTGCACATCCAACCTGTGTGCTGTCATCATGGAGACCTGACAGCACAGCTGTGGTGGTGACGGTGACTGTATTGTTGCTGTTGGTGACTCTGGTGGTGTTGTACTGTGAGAAGTGGAGGTGTTGTTGTGGAACAGTCAGAGTTACAGTGGGAGCAGGTCCACCTGTGGCTGAACACCACACAACTGACTCTTCAGGAGAGCTTGCTTCTCTGACATGAAGGACGGGTTCATGCAGCTCTGCACACAGAACCAAAGCCATCAGAGACAAGATGACAAACAGCTTCAAACTGTGATGCTGACAGCTTCTTACCATACACATGGAGACAGGTTTCTGCTGTCAGAGATCCATCAGTGTAGGTGTTCAACAAACACAAATAACATCCTTCATCCTCCTCTGTTATATTCATGAGAACTATAGAGTTCTTTTGCAGTCCAGCTTCTAGAAACTGAACTTCATTTACAAACTCAGGATTCGCTGTTTCACCAAAGGTTGTGTCATAAGAACCGATGTTTCTTCGTTCATGATTAAATCTTCTCTGCCAGGTAACCTGAAGGACTTCTTTAGTTTCCAGGAGCTGACAGCTGAGATGAGCATCTTCTCCTGTTTTTGTGAAAACTTTTGGTTGTGTTTGAATCTCTGCTGTCAC